GCTATCGTTATTCCATGTTCCTATGTGCATTGACATATGAATTCCTGTATGTTGGATACCTTTGTTCCTATCGCTATGTCTATCGCTATCGCTATGTCTATCGCTATCGCTATTGCCTCGCATTGTGTTTAGGTCTTTACTGTCGTACGTGGTTGGAATAAACTTAATTTCTTTTCCGTCGTCCTTCCTACGTTTCTATACCTTGTTTTGCAACCGGGTACTATACAACAAAATGGCATTGCAATATTTGCAATTCTCCTATTTGTCTTTAAAGATTCGGATTTTTCACACTTTTTTCGGAATACTTCTTCTATTAGTGGCAAGGCAATCTAGACTAGACGATCGGTTCTTCAGAACTCTTTTTCGGAATACAGTTTCTTTCCACCTTTTTTAACCGTTTTTAGCTACCGTTTCTAACTACGGCGCACTCATTATGCGCAGCACTACTAATTTCACGAGCGCTGTGAGTGTCGAGAATCGGAACTTAAACTCGAAACCTAAAATCGGTCCATGTTTCGTCGACTAGCTAGACTGACAATGAGTGGAGTCCCCTTATATCTTACTTCATGGGCTGTGTTCCAAAATTGTTTGTCAGCGCTGCGAGCATGTCGTCATAAGTGCATGCTACCAATAGTGTTCCAATTTCATAAGCATGCTTTTTATGCAAACGCAGCTTTCATTTTGGAACGATATTTTCAGTGCTGTCAGCATATAGCGACGTCAGCGAAAAGAAACAAGTAACCTAGAAATATGGAGAGAAGCATACAGAAAAAATTCGTATTTGAAACTATTATAAAGTTAGCACTTGATTCTAGTGATGAAGAGTCTAGTGATTCAGATTCAGAATTAGCGGAAATTATATATAATTATTACGAACGTCAACCAAGAATACCGAAGGTACAAATAAATGGAAACCAATTTGTTCGAAGCACAAAGATCGTAATAGTAATGAGGAAGTTAAGGAAGTTAAGGAAACGGTATATACCATTGATGTTTCGAGGATAGTCAAAAACCAGTTTGTTCATAGATGGTGTGGAGGTCGAAGGTTAGTCGCTCTTATACTAATAATGCAGCGGCCGTCGCCTTCGGCCTCTCTGCCGGATCGTCGATAAATCGCTGAAAGTTTCTTCCGTTAGGTTCGTGTGAAAGACCAGAGAGAGTGTTCGTTCTATGTACAATATATTTACACAGTAATTACAGTATGTTTGGTGGCCCTAAAAAGGGCTGATTGTTGGTACTTTATGTGGCTCTGAAAAGGGCCGTTTGGTACGGCGCGAGTTATGCCGTCAGT